TATATATGTATAATTTTGATTATTATTTATTTAATTAAGATTCTAAATTTTTATTTTTTAAAAATAATTTTTTATTATATGAGGAAGAGGAAGAAAGTGAAGGGAATGGGAAATTGTGGTAACTACCATCTCCTATGTGAGAATTTTACATTACATCCACGTGAATTTTATTTCAAATGAAAATTTTTTGAATTCTACAAAAGTTTATAAAAGTTTTAAAATGAAAGTCTCTAGAAGTCTAAGAAAGACTTTCACTAATTCTATACAATTTTATGAAAAATTCACAAAAGTCATCACTTTAAAAAAAGTCCATCAAAATTTTCAAAAGTTCAAATTGAATTCACCTCCTAAATTTAGATGTACTAAATTGAGATTTTAATAGAGTTTAATGAAATTCATTAAAATTAGATGTCCCAAATTGAGATTTTAATGAAATTCAATAAAGTTTGTTAAAATTTAAATGTGCTCAATAATTAGTGAATTTATAAAGATTTCATTAATAAAAGAATTTCAAAAGATTTGGATGGAATTCAACATTTATCAAAATCTTTTAAAATTTTAACCTATTTGATAAAATCCTTATGAAATTTTTGAAATTCTATTTACATTCACGAAATTCATTAAGATTTATAGTTTTTTAAAAATCCATCAAAATCTTAACTAAATACATCTCCATTAATCCACATTTTCCAAACACCACAAAAGAAAATAGAAAATAATAAAAATTGAAGACTCTGTTTTTTTCCCTGATATGGGCCCTTAAAATCAGGAACATATTCTATCAGCGTAATTTGCCTTTTCTTGAAAATCATACACTTGAGTCCAAAGAAATTTCCTCTTTTTAATTTCTCATCTTTATTACTTATTAGTCATCCTTTTTTCATTTTCTTCTTGCTTTTTAATAATTTGTTTAAAGACAGTTGACCTAATTTCTCTTTATTTATAATCTAAACATCTGATTTCTGATAATTTTATGTTAGATATACACAATCTATGTAAAGATTTACAGAGAGAAACAAAAGCTAACCATTTTCTGGAGGAAACTAATCGAGAATGGGGAATTCTTTTCGGTGCTCAGCTTCAGGGGAGAGGCTGGTATCAGCGGCCAGAGATGGAGATTTTGTAGAAGCAAGGATGTTGTTGGATTACAATCCATGCCTTGCAAAATACTCAACTTTTGGTGGATTAAACTCTCCCCTTCACTTTGCTGCTGCTAAAGGCCACAGTGAGGTTCAATAAATTATCTTTTTGGTCATTTCTTGATAAGCCCATTAATTCAATATTCAAATTTATCTTTATTATTGTATAGTTGTGTGTATGTATGTGTTTAATTATCTTATTTGGATTTAGGTTTTAATTTTTGGATGTTTGGGTTTTCAGATTGTGGGGCTGTTGCTGGAGAATGGAGCTGACGTGAATTCAAGAAATTACTGTGGACAGGTACAAGCTTTCAACTTTTTTGATCAGGGATTTTAATTTTTATCTTCATTGGATAATTATTTTGAATTGTGTTGTGGGACATGAATTGGGGTTTTTACATATGATGAGAGTGTGGCCGACTTCCTATACCATCATTTTATGGGAGATCAGATCAGCCGTGATTTTTATCCTGTAATGAGATTACTTACAAGAAAGTGTAGCTGGAATTTTTTCGTGGATATCAGTGCAATTGATGGATCTCTAGTCTATTTGAGTTAGAAACTTCTTTTATATTTTAATATTTTTCTGCAGACAGCATTGATGCAAGCATGCCGATACGGCCACTGGGAAGTTGTTCAGACTCTTCTTATCTTTAGATGCAATGTGAGTTGTTCCTCTAGGGATGAAAAAAAAAGTTTGACTGTTCATTTCTGTTCTTTTTTTTTTTTAACCATAATCTAGCTTATATCGAATACTTAATAGTTGTTCTTTACAGTGATCTCTGAAGTAATGGGTTATAAGCTCGAATGTCAATTTATGAAGTTCTCATGCTGATAAAATTTAGTATTTAGTAATTGATCTTTTAGTTATTTTCTCCGGCCTACTTTCAGGTTACAAGAGCAGATTATCTTAGCGGAAGGACCGCTCTCCATTTTGCGGCAGTGAATGGACACGTGAGATGTATAAGGTTAGCAGTTGCTGATTTTGTTCCAAGTGCTCCATTTGAATCTGTGAATGCTCGAACAAATGGTGATATTTCGAATACTAAAAGCAAGCATGATCAGAGGTATGTGGTTTCTGTGTGCTCATTTGGTCTTCTTACATGCAAGTTGAATTTATGCAAAAATGGACATAGAGATGGAAATCAGAAATGAGGATGAATGAGTTATGTTAGGCCATCTCTAATGTGAACACCAAAACACCAAAATGCACCATTTTTTTGTGCAAATGAGCTTCAATGCAACACTATACTTTGCACCATTTTGGTGCAAAAATGGTGCAAAGTGCACCAAAATGGTGCAAAGTGTATAAAGTCTCTTTTGCCTTTTTTTTATCATTTTCCAAATAAATTGGTTAAGGGTATTTGTGTCATTTGTGCTATATATTTTTTAATACATTAAATTATTATTATTAGTTGCATTTGAAATAAAAATGTAAGAAATAACAATTAATGAATTAATTAAAAGAAGAAAAAAATTTAAAATATAACAAACACGATTATTTATTAAAGTTAACACGAAATATATTAAACAACGACATATAGACGATAATCTAATTTTATTTAAGGAAAACAATACATAAAAAAGTACATAGTTTAGTAATCTGGAAGATCGCTTCCCAATCCTCCAACACTGTCAAAATAATTAAATAAATAGTATTTAGTAATTTATGTATTTATAATCTAATTTAACGTAATTATTTATTTAGTAATTTATGTATTTATAAAATAATTAAATAAATAATATTTCAAATAAATAAATTATATAAAGAATAAAAAAGGGAAGAAAATGGTTAAATACTATTCATTTTGTGTAAGTTTTGGTGTAACGGTTGGAGGTGAATTTTATTTTGGTGCAGCGTTGGCTGTTATTTTTACTTACAATAATTTTCACATTGGTTGAGACGATGTAATTTGGAGCAGTCTTGATCATGTTTGGAAAACTGTTGCAGATGGGTAAGGTTGTCATTGTGAACATGTTTTTTATGTCTAAAGTTAAGTACTGATCAATTTGAAAAGAGGAAAAATATAAGATTAAAATGGTAAAATGGAAAAGATATTTGCCATCTGGGAAGTTTTTGGTGACTTTATTGACTTGAGATCTTTATTCTGGCTTTTTTCACGAGTTCATTCACAGTGATAATAAGACTCACTTCATAAGCATCTCATTCTTAACATTATTTTCCAAGTTTTATGGGCAGTTATAGCTGAAACTTTTGTTTGTCTACCTCTTAAAGAAGAAGCTGCAATACCTATGCCTTCCTGATGAGTTATTGTAAATATTGTACATGTTATGGATTAATCCTTAATCCCTAACTTTGGGAGCATTTATAATTGAAAAGAAATAAAAAACTAACACATACATACAGATTTATGGTACTATGTCCATTCACTGCTGCAGAATTTCTACTATAAGTGAGAATAAGTTTTACCATGGGAGACCTCACACATCTCCATTTTTCTCACATTATTAAGATATGCCTTGCCCACCATCTGTTTATAAGTGAACGGTAGAACGGGGCTCAACATATTCCTAGAGTAAAGAGTCAGATTACTGAAATCTACTAGAAATTTCGACCTTTAACCTATTTTAAAAATATTTTCCTTGTCTGTTGCAGTGCTCTCTCCAAGTTTGTAAATAAAGCTGCCGATGGAGGTATTACTGCTCTTCATATGGCTGCATTGAACGGATACTTTGACTGTGTACAGCTCCTACTGGATCTTCATGCTGACGTGTCAACTGTGACATTCCGTTATGGAACATCAATGGATTTGATAGGTATTTTGTTTCCTTAGTCTTCATAATGTTGGGTAACAACTTCATGTCTGTCACTTGAACATGTCCTGTGATCATATTTTTGTAGGAGCAGGAAGCACTCCTTTGCACTATGCTGTTTGTGGGGGAAATTTAAAGTGTTGCCAGGTCACAACTAGTTCTTTATCATTAATCCTGAAACTATTACATTACACCGACAAATAACTTCTTTGTCCAGGATTCTTGAGACTTACAATTGACATGTTTTAATTATTGTTTCTCTCTTTCTGAAGATTCTTCTTGCAAGAGGCGCCAGTCGTTTGGCCTTAAACTGCAGCGGGTAATGCACTGAAGACAAATACTTACATGAACACATAAGCAGTAGATATAATTTCCAGCTACCATTGATTATTTCACTTTCATTATTACACCTTGTACTACAACACTTTATGAACTTATGCATGTTTCAGATGGCTTCCTCTTGACATTGCAAGGATGTGTGGGCGTCATTGGCTTGAGCCACTGCTGTCACCTAATTCTGAATTGACAATCCCGGTGTTTCCACATTCCAATTATTTGTCACTGCCGCTCATGAGTGTGCTTAATATATCAAGGTAAATTCCTGATGTGATTCCAGAAAATTAGATATTACCAATCAAACTGGAGTTTGTTATGATCACTAATCTTGATGTAGAGTAGCAGATATCTTTAGCTTTTTAATTTTTTTGAGTAAATATAATTTTCATTTTTTTCCCCTCTGGCGATGATTGTGTTCATTGTTCTGATGTAACAATTCTGCCCTAATTCTTTTTGTTCTGAATTCCTTTCTTTCTACTAGTTCTTACATATTAAGCCCCTGTTTGGGCTCCATTTTAATTTTAATACATTTTTTTTTCTTTTTTCTTTTCAAGCACACATTCTTCAATAAAATAATATTACACGTAAACCCAAAACTTTTTCCTCTTTTCTAACTACACATTCTCCAAAAAAAGTACTATTCCAAAATACATTTTTCCCAAAACCTCATTAGGAGCCCAAGCGAGGGCTAAACGAGTTTTATTATGAGAATTTTGGTGATTATATTTTCTTCTCGGGTTGCTTTCTGCAGAGAATATGGGTTGCACTCCTCAACAACCACTTCTGATGAAGCTGACGTTTGTGCTGTTTGCCTGGAGAGAGCATGCACAGTAGCCGCCGAAGGTCTGCTTTTTCTCTCCCTACCAATCCAATTTCTGTTTCTTATTTTTCATTTTTTTTTTAAAATAAAAATATGGCATGCATTGTCTATGATTGTATATCAGTATAATTGCTTTCTAAGGAGTCATGAAATAAAGATAAACTCTTATTTTACTGGGACTTCTGTTTATAAATAAATAAATATATATATATATATATATATATTATTGTGGTAGTTTTTGGTAACATCATTTCATGATTGTGGTAGTTTTTGATAACATCATTTCATGACATTCTAGTGAAGGATGGGACCAAGATAGGCTCTTAAGCTTTAATTATTAGTTTCTTCTTGATGATGGCGATGTTCTTCTTTAGACTTTGAAACCTACCATCCCTTACTGGAGCTGAGAAGCACCAGTTTTTTAGTCTTTTCTTTTTTCTATGTTCTAATTTCTTCCAGTTAGAAATGTTTTGATTCTCTGTTGTTCTTAATATGAAAGTCTTCCTCCTTCAACTGGAAATGTTGTACTATCAGTTCTTTTTTTGGCATAGAGCTATCAAAAAATGCCATGAATGGATTAATTTAATATTAATTTCTTAATTTTTTTGTTAAAATAAGTTGGAAAACCCTTGTAGAGAGACTGAGGCCAACCTCACTTTTAGCTTTATTTGAGTCCCAACTTCAGATTTTTACTTCTGCTCTCACCAGGCAACGAACGTCATTTTATGTGTTATAAAATTTCATGTATTTCGTTTACTCAGCCTCCACACCCTTGAATTGAGTTATTTTGCCCTGTGTGTGTTTATCCCAGTCTGTCTTTATGCAAGACCAATGCTGAAACCTTGTAGACATATTGAAAGGAAATCCAGTGGATATTTAATATTCTTTTTCGGTACAAGACTGAGAGACATGTGAACATGCATATGCATAATTACATAATTAGAGAGAAAATGTTATATGTTTATGACTTCACGTCTTATAAATTTTTATGCAGTTTACTCTGCATGTGTGTATGTTTGTTTAACTGACTGAGTCCACCTTTTATTCAAGACTAATGCCCTGGCCTTATAGACATATTGGAAGGAAAACCAATGGAGACTTAATAATCTTCTTCGGTGCAAGATTGACACAGACACGTGAATATGAACACATATATTTACGTATCCATACATATTTGTAATAAGTTAGAAAATTTTATCCGTCTATATTTGTGTTTTGACAGGGAAGAAATCTTGATTCCCCGTGTTAATTTACTCAATTTTATGATTATGCAATTTTGTAGGTTGCGGCCATGAATTATGTGTAAGATGTGCACTCTACATTTGTTTGACAAGTAATATCACTGCCGAATTGTTAGTTCCACCTGGCTCGATTCCTTGTCCTCTTTGCCGACATGGAATTGTCACATTTGTGAAATTGCCTGGTTCCTCAATAAAAGAAATTAAATTACCCCCATCACTTAGCCTGTGCACGCCATGTATGCTTCACCATCGAGAACAAGACAGATCTGAGTCTGTTGGTTCACCTGACGTAAGGAAGACTCGCTCAAATTCTGCTTCTTCAGATATTCTATGCCCCTTGACTTGTAGCCCGTTTGCTTCTGTAACAATCCCATTATGCACCTGCAACCATGGACATTGTCCAAATTTTGATTCCAGAGAGAGTGATAATCAAGAAGCATCTCCTCGTCGTGCAGAGTCTACATCAAATGAACAGGAAAAACTGGATGGAATGAGACTGGGCAAAACTACATGTTCGAGTATGTTTTGGAGTAGAAGAAGCTATAGCAGAGAGCATCAGTGTAATGCTGAAATAGGCATGCGAATGGCTTAGGTAAAGATCATATTTTTATATTCTTATTATGCTTGGGATTTTGAAATCGGGCTGAATTTTCAATGGTTTTTAGTTCCAGGCCACTGATTATAGAAGCTGGAATGATTCACTTCTGTTTGCTGCTGCTTTTTCATTTTTCCTCCGGGCTCCAGTGACAATCAGGTTTGGGATTATTACATGTTTTACATTTTTTTAAGGTTGCTTAGGATGTAGAGCTTGTAAAAATTTATAGGCTGTGGAAATGACAAATTATAGTGCAATTTCACTAGTTCTGGCATTTTTTCTTCACCTTGATTTAATGAAATACGAATTATTCATATAGGAACCCCTTTTGCTTATATGATTCATGTCAAGAAAATCTTATTTGAGTCATCTGTTACATTAAAAAATTATTAAAGTTCACCTGTTTGTCACGTCTACTATGAAAAGGGATCCAATCGCTTGCCCAGGTGTGATAGAATGAACTTTAATGCTTCGATCACCGAAGCTTGCACATTGGAATCCTTCGATAACCTTGGACATGGATGAGGCTCATCTCAGTGCAAACTCCGATAAATCAACCTTGAAGTTAGTGCTTTATGTCTTTGCGTGAAAACAGATTGTTTCTAGACAGGTGTCATGGAAACACAAATATCAATAAGACTTCAAAATGATTAAATAAATATCAATAAGACTTCAAAATGAGAATTTAATCGTAATTTTAACAAAATAATGAAGAATGTATTAAAGAGTCCTTAATCAATCTCCTGCAAATAAACCATTGTTCAATTAAGAAAAGAGAGATTTTGAACACAGAAAATTGAATTGGAAGATTTCTGGTGAAATAAATATGCAAATGACTTTAAAAAAGATTATTTATTTTTTGAGGTCAACGTATGGCACATTGGATAGATTGTACTTGATCGTTACTTCTTGTAGGCCCAGTGTATAAACAGCTCTTATTCTCTGACCTGTTGGGGTATATCTAGCGATTTACCTCCCTCACAAAGTTTTAGGGGCGGGACAGTGGGGACCATCAAGATTGGGGTTCAACCTTTTTTTTTTTTTTTTTTTTTTTTTTTTGGTTTTAAAATTCCGACCAAATTATATTTGACCACATCATGTGTATGTAAGCCATTATGTAAATGTAACATAACCAATCAAGGAATAGTTCCATTCTTACAGAAGTTAATTAGACATCAAACTCATATCTTGCTGCCTATGAAAACTTAAAAGGTTACTAGTACGCAATATATCAACGAGTCTATGGAGAAAATCTTAACATCCCTTTAATAAGAGAATATAGGCTGACAGAGTTCACCAGATCAGCATTTTTTCCATTCTGGGCTTCTACTTCTATATTTGACTCCTTTTTTTTTGGGGTTAAACTTGATAGTTGTAAATAAAAAAAAAAGAAAAAAAAAGCAAAAGTTACTTGTCAAGTCTTATCAATCCATCAATTTAAACTCGCAGAGGAGTTTACTTATTCTAAATATACGAAAAAACTAAGGAGATTTAAAGTAAAATAGTTATTAAGAACAAAGAGAGGTATGCGTGTCACAAATCTCTTTAAAGACAATTTTTGCTATATAGATAGTGAAAACTTCTTTTGCCAAATATCATAGCACAATATCAATCTTGACCGTGGAATAAAGCTTAATTGTATTCTTCTTGACTAGAAAATTTGAAAATAATAAAATCAAACTTTGGAAAGAAAGAAGAGTTAAATCTATTTTAAACAATTGATTTAAAATGCTCGAATCAAATGGGAAAATATTAAATTTCAACTTCAATTTCTCTGCTAATGGGTATATTTCTCAGGTTTGGCAGAACTTCTAAAATATAAAAAACTATTTTTGATATTAATTAGTTATTTTTAGATTTGTTTGTATATATTTAAAAGTGTTTTTGCTTAGTTAAAAGAGTTTTAGAGAACGTTTGATATGTCGTGAACAATAAGGGATATGATTACACTACAACAAAATTTACTTTTTACGGTTCGCATTAAAAAATACATAAAAGTATTGAAAAATTAAAAAAAAAATTATTTATTAATAATTTTCTTACTCATACGTAAATTTACTGAGTGGTTTCATTATTTATAACTGAATTTTTTTAGTTGTAAATGATTTTTCTAGTGTGTAAATATTTTTCTACTTGTTATTGTATTTGTTCTTATAGCTGATTTTTTAGTTATAAGTTACCTTTTTTACTTATAAAGTTAATTTTAATGCATTAGTAAATATTTTTATTCATAAGTAATTTTAACTTTGAAATTGTCTTTTTATAATTATAACTTATAAGTGAATATTTACTCATAAGTAATTTGTTTACTTGTACACAAATTTGGTACTTATAAATAATTTTTTACTCTTTTTTTTATTTTTACTACAAGTGATTTTTTTTTCTTTATAAATTTTTTAGTTATAAGTTAACTCAAGTGAATTTTTTACCTTTTATTTACTTGTAAGTAAAAATTTTGTACGTCAACTTAACTAATCCTTTCTTAATACATAAAAATTGTGAATAGATACTGCCAGTCTAAACTCATCTCATTTATGCCGTTGGCTGAAGTAGGAGAAGTACCCTGATTAATTCAATCCAAGTATTAATTACACAAAATATGATTAAATTAATCTCTATCCGATCTAAAGGAAAGTGCCGAGCGTGCCATTAAAGGAAATAACCCTATATAACATTCTCGTAAAAAATAAAAAATATAAAAAAATAAAAGGGCCATAAGAATCGTTAAAAACTATTAAAGCTTTTCAACAAAGGTATTTTAAAGACTTTTTTTTTTTCCAATTTACATAAATATGGCATTAGATGTACTAATGATGTAAAATTAATCTCCACCTCACAAGTATGTTTAATTAACTTATATCGAGCATGGTACTCAGTCAAAAGTTCTATCAAAGTTAATTAAAAATTGAATTTTTGCGACACAAAGATGGAGAGTGACATAATTTAAAATCAAGGGCCACGTGTTTACATTTCATTGGACAATTTGAAAAATGAGAGAGAGAGAGAGAAAAGCTACACAACAGCATTTGTCAAAATCCTGTCCTGTTCCCAAACTCTGTTCAAGCAATATAATTTTTAAAAATTTCAACATTAAATTCCACAAGTCAATACATCTCTATCCCACAGTGGTACTATCAAGCCGGTTGACATATTTGGCCAGATCTGGAAAAAAAAATGTAGAAAAGTAAAATTCTCACAAAAATTAAGCTAAAAGTCAATTAATTTATGAGGTGTGCTACTTGGACAACTCCCTATCGCGAACATCCGGCCAATAGGGAGTCGCCACATTGCCCCTGTTTGGTCGGGAGTTGTCCAAGTACTAAAATTCTTAATTTATAGAGTAATATAACTATTTATTGAGTTGGTTCAACATAATTTCACATAAGATACATGTCGAATTCAAGTATTCGTATTTGATTATGAAAATTTTTACCTGTTATTGAATTTCAATGCTGTTTAGCACTGATATATAGATTAATTCCATGCCACCTGAAATTGACACAGATCTACCAACAAGATTTCAACATCAACAAAAATCTATTGTGCAGATTCAATAACCATAAATTGTAAATTAATAGAAATTAAAAAACATTAATGTTAATTACTTCCCATGCAGGAATGAGCACACTACACTGCTTGAAAAAAGAAGATAATGGTTTTATTTATTTTTCCCGAAAATCTTGAAAAAAAAATAACAATAATAAAAGGTTTTCCTGAAAAAGTCCCAGAAGCTTCCTGAAGAAAGGCCCTCTTACAAAGATTGTCGACGCGCGTGACCCATTTAGCGAGCACGTGACCCACCTCGTACAGACCCTTTTACACCTGTTTAATTAATTTTTACTCGCTACCGTCTATCCCATCCTTACCAATTACCCGTCTTTTGATCACGCGAATCAAGGCCTTCCAATCGCATAATCGCCTGATCATCGAGGCTATTCCGTCTATCCAACGGCTCAGATTTCACGCCCATCCCCGGCTGCTGCAGCTGCAATTCCATCTCATGCTCCACCGAACCACCACCTTCGATTTCCCTTCCGCGCTTCACACCAATCGGCACCCCGAACAATCTCGAGCTCAATTCCTCCGCTTCTAATCTCATATTTTTCTCTACGCCGCCGTTAACGGCGGTGGCGACGCCTTGCAACTGTTTGCAAAATCTTTTCATCGGTAGTAGATCCAGCGGCTCAGTAGATTGAACTCTGTTATTATGATCGCCATATTCATGGCTACTGCAATTGGTTGCGTAATTCGACATCATAGCATAAACATTGTTGCACAGACTCTTCATCTTGCCAAGCTCTTTGTTAAGCTGCACGTTCTCCTTCCTTAGCCTATCATTTTCTCTAATCAGGTCCGTCGTGCCGCCACTCGTTTCGCTAACAACTTGAGGGGAGTTCGACGATGAAAGAACTTGCTCTTCACCTGAATCTGTCAGGGAAGTCGCCCGCGGCTGAGGTGTACACTGTACCACCTGCGCTGCCGCCTCCGTCACCGACGGCGCCGCAGAGGTTGAAGACGGTGTCGCTATTTTCCGACGTTGAATATCACACAGAAGCTTTTTCTCGCCCTTCCTAAAGCATTCGTTTGAGAATTCCCATCGATCAGGTACAACCTTTCGAAATCCCTACCAAAAAGACGATCAATCAATAAAAATATATTTTTTCAATACAAATTATGAATGGACTTTTATTGAAAACTTCGAGGCGATTAAGCTTACGTAAGTGTTGAGTTGACGAACAAAGCTTGAGAAATTGTTGTGTTTGAAATACTTTGGAAGCAAATCTCTAGCAAACTCCGTAGGATTCCATACGATAAAAGCAGATCCCTCTTCATTCCATGAGATGATATCATCAATGGTATAATCATTAACCAGCTGGTAAGTTTTGGTCAAAAAGGGCGTCGGAACACATCTCGGCATCTCTCCGGCCGTCGATTCCCCTCCGTTCCGATCTACCGGTGGCGGAGCCATAGCTCCTACCTACTTAAATGAACCAAATTCACATCAAATTCAACAACTAATCAAAAAATCTCAATAAAATCGTATTAAAAACATACTTTAGACTAATCAACTAACAAAACAAAACCTAAATCGAAAATTGTGATGCGGATCTACTCGAGAAAGAGAAATTTGGATTTCCTGTCACATCTAGAACGGCCCGTTGAAAATTATTTTTGGTGCACGAATATAGGGTAGAGAGACGGAGGTTCGGGGATAAAGAGCGAAAAACCTGAAAGGGGAGGAAAGAACGAGAAGTTTCGATGTGGGGTATACAGACGTGTCAGATTGTTAGGTGCAAACAATGTAATTGCTCATTGCAATCTGGGAGAGTGTGGAAATTAAGGTTATTACTAATTAATGTGGAAGCTGAAAATCTTGGATAGATTATTCAATTCGGATTTTGGAACATGAAATATCTTGATTTGACCTATTTTTGTAGTAGGATTGACAATTTCGAGGTGATCTCTTATGTAAATTTTGAGGTACACATAGCAAGGTCTTCTAAGATGATAATTATGTTATTTGTATGTAAAAAAAGTACATAAGTAATTATCGAAAATGATGTGGATGAAAAAGATTTGATGAAAAAATTTACTGTATTTTAAATTAATAAACGTGTCATATGTACTTTATGTAATCTTTTATATAAATTTTGATGTACTGATGGTGAATTATCAATTTATCTACTTTTAAGGGCTTGTTTAGGAGCGATTTTTTCTCTCAAAAAATTAATTTTTTGACCGTTATTTTACTATTTCAATCGTTATATTTGACTTCTGTTCTCACAGGTGAATGCCACTTTTCTCCTAACAATCAAAAAATCAATTCTCAGAATCACTCCAAGGCTATAAGAAGTTTACAAGTTTCAATCAAGTCAAATTTGTCGGGCACTGCCCTTTTTCCTTCTCCTCGGGTGCACGTGGCCTATTGCTTAATTTTTGAGGCAGCTTGAATTGGACCTCCCTTGGCGCAACCCACTGGATTAACTGAGGCTAGTATGATCCAAATTGCCAACTCGCCCAATCTATTATTTCTACGAAGTCGGTTTGAATTCACGTGAATTCATTAATATTTTTTTGATCCTCTATCGATCCCTTTGATATCGAACTGAACCGTTTAACCAAAAGCGAGGAAAAAACAACTAATAGTTAAGTTTTTCCTAGTTAGTTTTAGAGTAGTTGCAGAGTGTTAAATGATATATTCATTTAAATATAAAGTTAACATGACTCAATTAATTGAACATATAAAGTGTAGACACTTGAAATAGTGTTAGATAGCATTATTCTAATTTTTAGATTTACCTTTAAGCTCATTTTTCCTGTTCAATAATTTTAAGAATTGATTTTTTGATCGTTAGGAGAAAAATGGGGTCTGTTGCGTGTTGTCACACCTGTCCTATCCACCTGGGCCAGTGGGCCACTCATCTGACCTACTTGGCATTCCTGCCGAGGTGGCCCACATTGCCGAGGTGGGTTACATCCGAACTGCTTCTAACCGAGGCTCCGTGGCCCGAGGCGTGGAAGCTCTTGGTTGTAGCTGAGGTCCTCGAATGGACGAAGCCCCGGAGTTGATGCGCGAGCCTCAACCACAAGGAAACATCCTCCATGGTCACTTCTCCCAAGAGATCGCCTGCACAGATCTTATTCGAATGATTGATGGAATGTCTGTCATAAGCATAAATGTCAAGTCTTGTCACTAGCGTGGAGGCCCTGCACAAGCAATAAATGCGCCGTAAGCTAGCAAGTCAAATTCCATGCCTAAGAACAGACGTTTAAACTAAGGAGATGAGACCACGTGCCACTTCATCCGGGGCCCCCCATTCCATATGTATCACTATAAATACCTCCATTGTATAACGTCAAAGGACTAATGCAAGAATCAATACTAAAGACTACATTTTACTCAACTCTCTCCCATTTTACTTGCAATACACAAATCGACCTTATACATTTTTGCATATATATCTACGAGCACCGGTTGGTAATTATTGTACAATCGGATTACGAACAACCCGTCGGATCCCGAACGTCACCGTCCCGCGTCGTTGGGTTACTCCCACGCCCCTTTGAACCGCTCGTTTAGACCGTCCACGTATTTTAGCGTGCTGGACATTCGTCCACCTAAGCGCGGGTGGGACCGGTATCTGTTGGCGCACTTTTTGGGGTCAACAGATTGGCGCCGTCTGTGGAAATTCATACCATAACCACGAGCAACCTTGTGGTAAAAGCTTGCTGAAAAAACATTTGGGCAACCCCCCTTGAAAAAGGATTTGTTCTTGAAAGAGAATAGGAGGAACCCCTACCACTTGGAGAAATCTAAGTTGGATAAAGGAAAAATGAGTTCTAACGAAGATACTCCCCCAAGGAGGGTAAGAGAAAATACAAATGTGCCTCCCCAGCCTGCTGCCCCAGCAGCTCGGCAGAGGCTCCACCACCACCAAAGGAGAGGTGGGATGCGTGCGACGGCACGACTATCAAGAGAAATGGCTACTATGGCAGCCAACATGAGGGATATAGCCAACCAAAACTTGGCCATGAGGGAGCTCATGGCCCAGATACAAGGCCAAGGAGGTTTCCCCATTCCTCCATATGCCCCCCATGGGCACTATCAGCAAGAGGACGAGGCCCAAAGTCATAGGGCTGCCTCGCCAGACTATGGCCGAGGTGAAAGTCCATACGAAAGGGAAGTGGGAGTTGACATTTCCTCCAATTATGCATCTGGCCGACCCTCCGAGGTCCAAATGAGCCATGATAACTTTCCACCTCCGTATGAGGAAGACCCAAGACAGAGGAGAGCAGGAAGTGTTTTTGACAGAATCAGCCCTGCCGAACCAAGGCCCAGTCAGTAGCAGGCTCAGCAGCCTCGGACGAGGCCACAGCCTCCACCTCCGATGCCCCAACAGTCGGAGAGAAGGCATGAAAATGCCCCACGCGCTGTCCCACCTAGAAGTAGGCCGCAAAGGAAGGAGGAAGAAGCTAGGAACCGGCCAGGACCCTCTCACCAACAACCTAGGTACGAGGCTGAAGATTACGATTCTGATGAGCAGCAGAGGTCCTGTGACTTAGACGATGATGATGAGAACCTGCCATTCTCAAGAGAACTAAGAGATGCCCAGGTCACGAGCCACTATGTCATGCCGAAAATACCAAAGTATGACGGGAGAGGTGACCTAGAAAAGCACCTCAACGCTTACAAAACTCACATGAGCCTGAGGGGCGCCACCCCAGCTGTGAAGTACAGAGCATTCCATTTAACCCTCAGCGGAGCAGCTGAAATCTGGTATAGTAGGCTACCATCTGGGAGCATCCGAAGCTGGCCCGAGTTCAAAACTACCTTCTTGAAGAGGTTTGCAGTGAGCAAGGAAGGAGAGGCCCCCATTCAGCGTCTTCAAGACATGAGACAGGCGCATGGCGAGTCCTTGAAAAGCTTCCTATCCCGCTTCACCGACGAGATGACCTACTGTGTGCAAGTCACCGACAGGGAAGCACTATATGCATTGAGAGGAGGATTGAACATGAACACCCTATTCTGGAGGGATGTGCAGAATCAAGACCCAACCACCTATGACGCCCTACTAGAGATGATGAGAAGAGAGATAATTAATGAAGAATTGATTGAGCATAGGAACAGGGCAAGCAGGGGCCTCCCACCTCCACAGAGACAGCGAGGTAGGGGGCCGACCTCCCACCTTATGGACTACCAGATGAACCGATCTGGAAATGAGAACTCCGGCCAAGCCCTGGCCACCATTACTCTGAACGCGGTACCAACCTTGGCGTATGAGGATGTCAACCCAACCGCTGACCCACATCAGATACAAGCCCAGCAGGGACCCCGTAGAGGGGGAGGTCGAGGTTGGGGTTTTGCACCTAGAAATAGGTCCAATCCGAACCTCCCTGGATACTGTTTGCACCACGGGTCCTACGGGCACGACACCGCAGATTGCAGAGACTATGCACACCGCTCGCGGCAGGAACCCGCCAGGGAAAGACATAACTCGCCCCAGGCCAACAGGCCCCCGCCCAGGCAAGACAACCGACATGGGCATGAGGCGACCGCTCCTCGTCAAAGGGATGTCTCCCCGAGGCGAAGAGAGCAAGACACGGAAAGGCCCAGGGAAGGGCGTAGACACCGAAGAAACAGGCAAGCTCAAGATGAGGCCCCTATCCACGAGATAGATACCATATTTGGAGGCCCTTATGTTGGCGGCGAAATACGGAACGCCAAAAGAAATTATGCTAGGGAGGCCAAGCACCCCCCTCTGACAAGCTACATTGTGGATAGTAGCTCTCGAAGAAACCAAGTACCACCCATTATCTTCACCCAGGAAGACGCCGAAGGAGTTCATTACCCCCATTGCGATGCGCTGGTGGTGAGAGCTGTCATAGCCCGAAATGGGCTCAAACGAATGCTAGTCGACAACGGCAGCTCCGTCAACATCTTGTTCGGGTCCGCCTTTGACAAGATGCTATTGGACCACCAGTTGACACCCACCACTACTCCATTGTACGGATTTACCAGAGATAGCATCACTCCGAGGGGAAAGATAACACTAGCAGTAGAGATGGGAGAATCTCCCCAAACTACGATGAACTTTATGGAGTTCCTCGTAGTTGACAGTCGTTCGGCTTACCACGGAGTCTTGGGTAGACCGGCCCTAAAGGAAATGGGCGCAGTCACCTCCATCCACCACCTATGCATGAAATTTCCAACGGAAAACGGGTTGGCAACGGTGAAGGGCGACCAGAGAGGTTCGCGAGAGTGCTATCTGAGCTCCATTAAGAAGGTAGAGCCCCGGGACGTCCACGTGATCATGGCTGATGTGGTCATGGCGGATGTCTCAGGTGACGCTCCCGCCGGCCAGGAAGATGTTGATATGATTGACGTACCACCTCTTCAGGAGGCGTTAATCGTTGATGAACCCGACCCCAACATAATGGAACATGACCCTCAAGCGTCCCCTGTAGAGGAACTTGAGAGCTTCTCAGCCGACCCTCGAGATCCATCAAAGATGTTGAAGATAGGCAGGGGCTTATCCAACATTTTGAGAGAAAAGATCAAGGAATTCCTAGGCAAGAACCTCGACGTCTTCGCTTGGAGACATGAGGACATGGTGGGCATAGACCCCAAGGTCAACTGCCACCACTTGAAAATCGATCCTAATTTCGCCCCGCATAGACAAAAAAGGAGAGCCCTCAATCCAGAGAGGTATGAGGCCCTAAA